AAAGAACGGAAGCATATTTAAGTTGTCGGCGATATCAATTTGAACTTGTTAAAACAAGCTTCAAACAAAATTAAGCATTTTATCGTTAAACTTCTTCAACATAATATTATTCCAACAATAAATAAACCAACCAGAATAACTAAGAAATCTTCTACTTTACTTGATAATATAATCACTAACAATTTTTATAACAACTATATTTCCACAGGTATAATCAAAACAGACTTATCAGATCATTTTCCTACTTTTTTAATAACTAATAATATAATAGTTAATAATAATTCTTCTAAATTTATAATATGCAGGCGGCAGATCAATAAATACTCCTTACAAAAATTTCAACACCTTTTAAAATAAATTGTTGATTGGGATCTTATAATGCAATCGGTAGAGATAAATAATGCCTATGAACTATTTCTTAAATTTTTTTGTGAGCATTATGAAAAAGCTTTTCCGGAGAAAAAAATTGTTATAAATACCAAGTCATATCAAGCTCCATGGATGTCTAAAGGCTTATTAAAATCTTCAAAGAAAAAAAAAAGTTGTATGAAAATGCTACAAACTACAAACTTTATAAAAATATATTTGAAAAAACTAAACAACAATCAAAAAAATTTTACCATTCAAAGTTGTTAAAATAAACTAACGGAAATGCCAAAAGTACGTGGAGCGTAATTAAAGAAATTATTGGCAGAAAAAATAATGGAATAAGTATTCAACCAAAGAAACTCTTAGTAGATGGTAAAATTATATATGACAAGTCAATAGTAGCTGAAAATCTAAACAGCTTCTTTCTTAATATTGGTCCAAACTTAGCTGAAAAAATTCCTTTAAGTTCATCATAGTTTGATTCTTATTTAAAAATATATGATAAGTTCATGGACGAATCTAAACTAGATATTAATGAGTTACGATTTGCTCTAGATAATCTTAAAAACAACACAAGTGTAGGTTTTGATAATATTAGCATAAATGTTGTTAAATCAGTTTTTCATATTATAGAAACTCGTTTATATCACATTTTTAATCTTTCTCTTCAATCTGGAACAGTTCCAGAAAAATTAAAAATTGCACAGGTCTTGCCTATTTTTAAGTCTGGCGATGACAGAGATTCTTCAAATCATAGACTAATATCAGTTTTAACATGCTTTTCTAAGTTACTCGAGCGTATAATGTATAATAGGCTAAACAGCTACTTAACAGTAAATAACATGTTGTACAGCAAGCAATTTGGCTTTAAAAAAAATCATTCAACTGATCACGCTTTGACCGAGTTAGTAACTCATGTAACCAATGCCTTTAATGATGACCGTTTTACATTAGGAGTATTTATTGATCTGTCTAAAAGCCTTTGACACAGTCAACCATGTCATTCTTTTAAAAAAACTTGAACATTATGGAATAAAAAACAATAATTTATTATGGTTTAAAGATTACTTATCAAACAGACAGCAATACATTCAATATGAAAATGTTAAAACGACAAAAAGTATAATAAAATGTGGAGTTCCTCAAGGCTCAATCTTAGGACCGTTACTGTTTTCTCTTTATATAAATGATCTATCTCTTACCTCGAACATACTAAACTTTATTTTGTTTGCTGATGACTCCAATCTGTTTTATTCTCATAGGGATATTAAACCCTCTTTAAAGTAGTTAATGAAGAAGTAAACAAAGTAAATGAACGGTTTATTTGTAATAAACTTTCACTTAACGTTAACAAAACTAAATTTAATCTTTTTCACAAACCAACCAAAACAGGAAACCTTCCTTTTAAAATTACCCAATCTTAAAATCAATAATATAAATACTACTAGGCAAACAACTGTAAACTTTTTAGGTATTATTTTAGACGAAAATTTAACATGGAGGAAACATATAAACACTCTTGAAAGAAAACTTTCAATAAACAATGCAATGATGTATAAAGCAAAACCATTTTTGGATATAAGATCTCTAAAAAGTTTATATTTTTCCTTCATACATAGCTATCTAACTTAAGGCAATATCGTATCGGCAAGCAACAGCTACGCTAAGTTAAAGAAAATTTATACTAAACAAAAACATGCATGTAGAATTGTATTTGGAGTAAAAAGAACTGTGCATTGTGAGCCTCAAAAAATTGTAAAATTACTTTTACGTAAACTCAATGCATTAAATGTGTTTAAAATTAACATATTCCTCGTCATACAGTTCATGTATCAAATAAAACATGGACTGTCCCCAGCGATATTCTATCCTTATTTTAGAGAAGTAAGCCATAAATACCCCACCAAGTTCTCAGAAAATAACTTTGTAATTCAAAAGTATAATCTAAAGTTATGTTCTTATTCTATTCAGTACAGGGGTCCAATTTTGTGGAAAAACTTTCAGCATATTGTTAATATTAAAGAAAAAACACTTCCGCAATTCAAATCTAAATTAAGACGTTATTTAGTACTTACGGATTTTAATATAGCAGATCTTCTATGTCACTTTTAAAGCTTTAAAATTTATTAAACTAAATTAGCACCATAAATTTAAAAATCTAGACCATTTAACAATACTAAGAATTTCAATGTCTTTATCATACTTTCATTGAATATATATATTCTCTTAAAGTTAACTACAATTTTCTTGATATATTTTATAATATATTGGAACAGAATTTTTATTTGAATTTTGAATTATTTTTAAAGAAAATAATATATACAAATATATATGTCGAATCACATCCAATTTATAACCAAAAACAGAAAATTTTTCTCATTATTTTAATACTTTTTTTTTTTTTTTTCTTTTTAACTTTGTTTCTTAACATTTTAAATTGTCTTTTTTTAAATACTTTTGCTTATATATTACGGATTATTGTATATTACGGATATTTATTTGCGTTACTATCGGGGCTCGGTGATGAGGCTATTTTATGCCTTCTTCTTGCTCCAGCCGATTGTACTTTTTATATTGTTGTACTTTGTAAATATTTTTAACGGCGAAATAAACTAATAAACTAACTAAAAAAAAAACTAACTACGGCTCAAAATCAACTAAATCTTTGATAGTGACATTACTTGTTTTAGTTTGAATTACATAATTAATTTTGCTAACTTGATGCAAAAAAAAAAAAAAAAAAAAGCTTATAGAATAATATCGCATCGTTGAAATTACGTTAAGCAAAACTATGCTAATTCTGATTTTTTTTTAATTTATGTTATTATAAACATGTAAACAATTTTTAACCTGATGTTTGTTTTAACTTAGTTTGAGTTGGTTAGTTGATATTAGTCCGACGAAATTTTGTTAAAAAACAAAGGCTGGCCGGTGTCGGCACCCAAGCTCGATCCGACGTCGGCATTAAAACAGGGTACTCTGTTCTAAATAAGTCAGAAGTAATTAGCAAAACGCTCAATAAACTAAAACTGAATAACAGTAAATAAAGATGTAGCGTCTAAAAATAATTATATATGTTCAAAAAACATTAGGTTTATTGAAAATATATATAATTATGCATACATAGTAAAAGTGTTTACATATCTACAATCGTATAAATAAAAAAATTAAAAAAATCAAGTTTAGCATCACTTTGACGTTATTTCAATAATGCAATAATACCCCCCCCCCAAGCTTTATTTGAATTATAAGAAAAGTATAATGGAGTAATAGAAAATATATACATTCAATCTTAGGACCTTTCCCATTTCTCATAATGACTGATTTTCTAACGCTGCCTAAAACATTTTTTGACAGTTTGATGATTCATAAGTATTTTTGTAAGCAATACCCCCTCAGTTTTTTAAACATTTAAAATTAGAATGGGGTACCCAAAAAACAAAAAGATACCCTGCGGGAACCTTTAATGTTTTGAGATAAATAGGCCGAGTGAATAAAAAAAAGCAATTTCTTTTACTCAGTAATTAGTTAGCTTTACGTGAATAAAAACTTCAGCAGTTGTGATCAAATATTTGTTCACATAAAACTTCAGCAATTGTGATCAAATATTTGTTCACATAAAACTTCAGCAATTGTGATCAAATATTTGTTCACATAAAACTTCAGCAATTGTGATCAAATATTTGTTCACATAAACTTGAGCAATTACTCCAAAAACGCTGAGTAAAAGCAATTGCCTCTTTTTATTCACCTGGTCTATTGTATTTAAAAAAGGCTCCAAATTCAAAAATGTGTGATTTTAGCTTAAATAATTTATGATTTAAGATCTAAGAAAGAGTTTTCCTCAGTTTTTTTTTTAATTTTCTTTTAAAAGTTTTATCTAATACTTCCTTAATATAAAAAGAAACTTAGGATACAATTGTCTCATTGCCTTTAAATTTAGTTTAAAAATCAAAAAATCCCAATAATGACTTTGCAAGTATTAAAAAGTCAAAAGTTTGACCGACCATAACTCAGAAACTACAAATATTAAAAAAATTAAATTTGCAGGGCTCATTTTTAACCCATCAGTATTGCTACATTACTACGTGATTGAAGGATATCACTTTTGAGCATTGCCTGATTTTCTCAGAAAACGGTTCTTAAGAAATACTATTAGTGAATAATTAGGAGTCAGTAGATTTTTGATAATTTCGTCTAGGTATTAAAAAAAATTATAACAAAATTATGACACAAAAATATATACAAAAAAACAAACAAAAAAAACCCGTTTTTAAAATAATTACACCACACGAAAAAATGTGCACACATAGTGATTTTTACAGAATGCAAATGATTTTTACAGAAATGATTTTTACAGAAAGCAAACTAACAAAGATTCATTTATGCACATTTGAGCACGAAATACTAAAATTTATGCACATTTGAGCACAAAATACTAAATATTATAACAAGATTTTTTTTTTAAAATCAAAGAAAAGAGAAAAAAACAAACGAAAAAAAGAATAAAAAAATTTTGCGTTAAGTTTTAAATACCTATTTTCTTTTTTTTTGGCAAATAATAAAATATACTTTAAATAAAAATATCTAAGTGTTTTTATAAACATCCCAAATTGAAATTTTGCCATCTCTTGCAGCGATACCAATAATATCTAAGTGTTTTTATAAACATCCCAAATTGAAATTTTGCCATCTCTTGCAGCGATACCAATAATATCTAAGTGTTTTTATAAACATCCCAAATTGAAATTTTGCCATTTTTTGCAGCGAGACCAATAATATCTAAGTGTTTTTATAAACATCCCAAATTGAAATTTTGCCATCTCTTGCAGCAATACCAATAATATTTCCAGAGCTATAAACTATGCTACTTATACCTTTATTATGATATTTTAAAATGGCTAGAAGTTTCATTTTTTTCCAACTATATAGACGAACTCTAAAAAATAAAAAATAAACTTTCTATTCAAGATTATTTATTTAAGCTACTTAGCTTGTTATATGGACTATGTTTATACATTACTCTCCTTGTTATCAAAAACAATTTAAATTAATTTTCTAAAGTGAAAGATTTAAATTTGTATAATAAATTTTTTTAATTAGTGAGAAGTAGCGGAATAAGCATTTTCTGCACAGTATTTACAAGACAAAGCCCAAAAACATTTTAAATATAATGTACGTTGGAAATAAGTCTCAATTTCATCAGCAAATTGATCAATTTTACTCCACTGAAGTCATTTTTAATAAAACAAAAAACAAACAAAAAAAAAAAAAAAAAATACACAAACATCACAATTACAACTCTTTGTAATTGTGGCTAATTGTAATCCTGATTCTTTTCATGAAGATTTGATTGATTTACTCTTTTAACATTTATGAGTCCAATTATATAGCAATAAAACTTACACAATATTATCTTATTATAAACTTAGACTATTTATCTTAAATACCAAATCTAGTTTTATTTACACTTCACTTTAAAAAAAAATTTTTAAATGACAGCAACCTTGTGGTTAACTGGTACGTTACTTAAAAAAAATTCATTAAAACTGTAAATTTAAATTAGATTTCATCAACAGTAATCCTTACATAAATTAAAACAACTTACATAAATTAAAACAACTTACATAATTTAAAGCAACTTATTTAAATTGCTAATAAAAAAAAAATCTTTAAAACACAATGTAACAAAAGCTAGCTTAAGAGCTTCCTAATCCGTTTCTACAACAACAACAAAAAAATAGCTGTTGTTCCTCAAAAACTTTGCATCTGTGACCAAGACAACGATACTTTAAACTTATTGTGTTTTTAAGAAAATTCTTAATTCGTACTGAATATTGAGCAGTCTTCTAGAATACTTCTAAACTGCTATAATTGTTTACAAGATCCGAGAACCTTTTTAGAACATATTTTAGAACTTTCAAGAAACCTTTAGAACTTTCTATAATATTCTCAAACTTTACAAAAGAAATCATAAAAGAATAAAAGCACAGGTGATCAAAATAAATTTTTCAGTTTGTTTTATTGGTGAACAATGAAATAACAAAATGTGTTTGAAGAGCAATTATTTAATTTGAATGGCACCAAGAAGTTATTTGCATCGAGCATATACATTTTTGCTACGTTTGTGAGCAATTTAAAACAAAATAAAAATAAATAAAGTAAGTGATAAAATGTGTTAGGCTTAGGCCATGTTTAAGAGAAAGAGAAAGTCTGACAGTAAAAAAGATATTGGAGATACAAACTATAGTTATATTGGTGCAGTTGAAGAGATGCAAGCTTACTTAACCAGAAAGACATTAATGATCTAATCAGAGGACCTTGGTCTTACCAAGGCAAATGATGAGCTATTGATATCCAGGCTCAAACAGTGAATTTTGTTGGATAAAAATATTCTAATCACAAGTTAGAGAAAGTGTCACTAAACATTTTTTTAGAACATCTTTTTTATTCAGAACACTTGGCTGAGCTTCTAAAACAATGTGGCTGGTCTTTTCAAGCCATTTGGTAGCAATTACTATTTGAGTGAATGGCACCTATTTAAAGACTTCACTCTGGAGTGTCAATGTTGCATTGCTTCACACCATAAACAACTACCTGTCTATTCATACTTACCTATTAAAGAAAACTTCACCAGTGTCAAGATGTTGCTGAGTGCCTTGAAGTACGATATCTACAGGTGACGTTTCTTGTCAGAGATATCACAATGGAGTATTTTCTCATGGGCCTTCAAGGCAGTATAATAAAACTTTCTTGTTTCCTTTGCCGCTGGGACAGCCATACCACTAAAACGCACTTTCAATAAAATTACTGGTCACAACATGTTCTTTATGGGCAAAGTGCTTATGCCAGCACACTTCACATCAATATAAGCCTCATCAAGCTAATTGTAATTGTTTTTATTCAAAATCTAATATTTTTTATTTGAAAACATGCATATTCAATATGCAAAGGATTGCACGAACCACCACCAGTATTATTGACGATGATTTCTGCAATTTTGTACTTTGTGAAAAAAATTGTTCTGTACTTTAAAAAAAAACAAGCTTAGAGTTTCATAAAATAAACAAAAGGAGCTACAACCTAAATCCTTTTTATCAACTGGGATCAACCAAAAGTAATTGATCATTAAGTAAATGAAATTTATTTTTCTATTTTATTATATTGTATAAAGGAACCTGACATAAAAACTTACACTCCATTCCAACTTCCACAAGCAACAATTTTTTTATCACTTCTAATTGAAAGTACACTATAGCCACTGCTCATAGTCTCATATTCGTTGATTTGTATCAAATGAAAGTTCTAAAAAACATAACTTATATTATTGTTACATATAAATACTTCTGATAGTGTAAAAATATTTTTGGTAGAAGGGTAGCACCAAAATACGTTCGGCGCTGTCAAAAACAGTCTAGAATAGCCCCTAATGGATGAAGTTATAATTATGAATTATTTTATTATGCAGAATACAAATTAAAGTTATTAAATGTTATTAGTTATTAAAAAAACAATTAAATGACATAAACATTGTAAATTATTATAAGTTAATATTACATTGTAAGTTTATTATAAACATTGTAAAAAGTAAATGCAAAATTATAAGAAGAAACAATGGAATCCAAGAATGAGTACTTGAAACAGTTGTTATAATAAATATTAAAAAAGAGTTATAAACTTATTTCTTATAGATAAAAAAATATAGTTTTTATAAATTTTTTGTAGAAGGTAATCACATATCTTATAAAACATTATAAGATACTAAATTAATGTTAAATAAAATATTATATTAAATAATTACCAGATAATATGAATACGCTAATTTAATATTATTATTAGTCGAGTTATGTCATTTTCTAGGCTTTTCTATTTTAAAGTAGTTTCTAGGCTTTTCTATACGCTTTTTTTTTTTTTTTTAATTTTATTTACTAACAATGCGTATTACGGGTTGCTTACTGCTAGTGTATAATAAAGTTGTACTTTATTATACACTAGGTTTTTCGTTAGGCATAAAATTATGCATATAAGAAAGTTGTACTCTTTTTTTTTTTTTTTTTGATATTTATCAAAAACCATTTGTTATAAATTTATCAACAAAATCATTGTTTACTGACATTTTATTGAAATTGATCAAAAATTAAAAAATCAAAATAAATTTTAACTGAATAAGAAAAAATGATAAAAATGACATCACTCTTTAACTTTAAAGAAATATACAGTAACTAATAGTAATTATGAATTGTTACTAATTATTCTTTACAAATTTTGTAAGAAATATTTTTTATATTTTATAATAATTATAAGTATAAAAGATAATTTAAAAATAAACCTCATCTATATTATAAAAATGAATTTTATTTCCCGTTGATGCTGTAATTATCTTTCTGCCATCTGTATCCATACTCATTACTTAAGAAAAAAAAAATCATTTTCATTATAACAACAATTTTTAATGATTATATGTCTATTATACAGTTTATATATCTTAAGATATCTAAGCTAAGGTAAGATACCTCAGTTAAATAATAAATAAAATTAACTTAAGATATCTCTAATGCTCTGTAAGTTACTACTTAAAGATGAAAGATGCACAATAATGAATTACATCAAAACCAAATTTTTTCATTATTACCATACTAATAATTTTTGGTTCCTCAACTATTTTATGTGCTAAAAAAATACTTTTCCATTTTAGAATCTTAAAGAACCTAGGCATTGGTAAATAACCTTCGTTAAGAAATATCAAAAAGAAATTATAAAAAAAACAATTGCAATTAAAACTTATAATAAAATAACATAACATAAAAAACAAAAATGTTTTAGTATAACATAAAAAAAAAAAAAAAAATAGAATATGAACATGTGTTACCCCTACTTTGAAATCCATCCCCAAACCCTATATAACAAGGCCTAATATAATAATAATAACAAACATTAAAAATATAGTTATATATTATATTAAGGTAATAGTAAACATTAATTTGCATATTTTAATTGCTATAACAAATCTACTTTTAAAGAATGTATTTATTAAACAATTAGAACATAATTGAGCAACCCTTGGAACTAGGGTCAGCATTTGGCAATGCCGACCTCAAAATGTTTGAGGTCGACAATAAATTGCATAAAACTTTATGTCAAACTTTTTTTACTGACCTGATGCCGATCTCTAACAGTTTAAGGTCTAACTTTAGTTTAAGCAATTTATTGCTGACCTCATTTTTTTCAATTCCGAGGGCTGATTGAGTAATTTATTATTTAACGATCTATGTCAATTTAATCAGGCCATGTTTCCATAGATCTCAAAATAACTAGATTTAAAGAATTTTAAAAAACAATAAATTAATTATAAATCTAAATTTAATTTATTATTTATTTTAAATCTAAATTTAATTTTGAACATTTAATAGCAAAGATAATACTTATCACAGTTACGTACACTTATCACAGTTTACTACGCTTTCTAAAACACCTCCATAACACACAAATTTGGGTGTTAAAATTTTTTTACAGTTAACTCATTTTTACTTTATTGAGTTAGCATACAGATAAGCTCATATCAATTAAACATAAATAACAATATATGCACAATTCACAGACTATAACAATGATCTAGAGTTTTTAAAGTTTTTAAATTTCTAAATTTCTAGATAGTAGTGGTAAAGCAAATCTTTTTTGAACAATAGAAAACTACTGGTAGAATTCATCCAATCAGCAAAACTTGACAGCTACAAAGTAATGTTGTGCAAAACAATAGACAAGCTTACATTATAAACAAAAAAAAAAAAAAAAAAACTTATATCATAGAAAAGCAAAAGACAAGTTTACATGATATTTTTACATAGCCAAGACCACAAAGTATTATTTAATAGAAATGAAGCAGAAAAATCTGCATTATATTTTGCAGAATTTGTTTCTTTTTCAAGGTAAATTCAAAGTTACATTTGGGGTAAATCCCAGTGCACCTTGCATCTGGTAGCACTTGATTATTTATTAAATCTAAATATAGTTGACTCTCAATAATTAAAAGGTACAAAAAGTTTTCACTATATTTTTAATGGTTCAGTTTTAAACAAGTCTGATTTTACTATAATATTTTAACTATAATATTTAACTATACTATTTTTTTTTTACTAATATTTTACTATACTATAATATTTTACTATAATATTTAATATTTACATAAAAGATTGATAGAAAAAAAATATAATAATAATAACAATTCAACATTAAAATTAAACTCATGATTGCATATTATTCCATTTTGATTCATTTTATTGGATTTTCATATCTAACATTAAAAAATTAACAATTAAATATTTTTATAAAAAATCTGAAAAAATTCATTGTAAAAAATTTTTTCATGTAAAAAATATAACTTATTCCAGAACACCTCAATTGATAGTTAAATACATGTGTAATAAGAATTAACAACATCAACTAATGATAATGAATAGATAAAAGAACTGACCATAAAAATTTCTTAGAAATGCTATTACTTTTGTTAAAACTTGACTTGATAATAAAAAAACATCTTGATAAAGTTATTGAAAAAGCTAAAAAAAAGGCATGCCTTAATAATTTTACTAAGCTCTAAATATTTTTTACACATAAAACTTCTGCACACTAATAGTCAATGAACAGGCTTCCCATCAGCAAATGGAATTAATTTACGAAGAGAATGATGAAAAAACTTTTTTTAAGCATTCTCTATGTTATTCTCTATAATTTTGCAACTTTGAGACATTGCACAGTGGGCCAGGTAGTGGACAAAACCTTGAATATGAAAACTTATTATTTTAAAAACCATATAATAAAATATAGTTGTTATACTCTATTGTCTTATTACAAAATTTATTTGAGTATAATATTATTTTTCACAACCACAAAAATCAATCTGGTGGGAACCGGGTTTGCCGGAAATGCTGAAAAAATTCCTGCCGGAATGAGACTTATATTTATGTAGCTTTTTACCTTCAAGATTGAAAGTGAAAGCCTGCACCTTTGCATCATGGCTACATAATATATATTTACAAACTATAATATGTATATATATATATATATATATATATATATATATATATATATATATATATATATATATATATATATATATATATATATATATATATGTTTAGTATTTACATGGTGTAATATATATAAAATATTTACTTTATTAAGCATCCTTTTACTATTTAAAAGTTAAGAAACATTAAAAATGAGACTATTTTATTATTGTAACATTTTCGATGAAAAAAAAAGTTTGTTACTCAAAACTGGATAGCAACTCTTTTTGCACCACAATATTCTTAAACTTTTAGAATTCTTTACATAAGGGATTACTGCAAATAAAATTAGGCAAAGTTCTAAAAATAATTATGTCTAAAATAATTTTTTTTTATTGCTTGTTGCGCTTTTGCATGGAGACTTGCTCAAAGTGGTGACTTTTTAATATAAACATAAAGAATATTTATTGGCTTTAGTGCTTACATCGACTATCTTATAGCCTGCTACTACAAAAGAGTGTTGCTACATCCATTATCATATAGCCTGCTGCTACAAAGGAGTGCTACTATGTTCATTATCTTATAGCCTGCTTTTACAAGGAAGTGCTGCTACATTGACTGAGGATTTGGCACAAGGCAGCAATCTTTTTTCTTTTATTATTTCAATTAAAATTTCTAATGTTTAAAAACTCTCCACACTAACGAGAGCGCAAAAAGCAAAAAAATAAAATTATTTTATAACTATAGCTTTACCAAAAATTACATTGTGTCTGTTAAAAATTTTGTATTTTTTACCTAGGTTTACCCATAGTTCCTGTATGACAATGATTTTTGATTTAATTTACACAGTTTGTGTCACATATCTTAAATAAATTAATAAAATATATTCCGGCTTTCCCGCCTGAAATATTATAATTTTGGCCGGAACCGGAATGAACTAAAAGTCACAAATTTTGTTTTCTTTTTCCTTTTTTTTTTTTTTTAATCATAATCATTTTTGGTATAAAAAAACTAAAAATTATGTCATTGCGAATGTGGGGGCAATAGGTTTTAAAAATAAAAAAATTTAATACTTTAGACTAGATCATAATTAATCTATAGACTTTACATTTCACCATAAAATATCTTTATATAAACATTTATTTAAAAACCATGAAAACACCATGAAAAAACCATGTAAACACCATGAAAACACCATGAAAACACCATGAAAACACCATGTAAACACCATGAAAACACCATAAAAACATGAGCATTTTATGAGAACTTTAACTAACTCAAATATAAAAAGTTATAAATTCGCATTTTTAAATTTTTAAAACTTACTTTCTGTTTATGCATTAAGTTAACTAAAATTTATAATAAAAGTAAAAATTTCTTAACTTAAGGTAGTTATTTGGACATTTAAAGATCTTTAGTAAAAAATAAAATTTGAAAAAAATTTTGTCCACCATAAGAGCGGCCCAATGTGCATTGGGTCGATAGCATCCAATTTGATTGGGCCGATCGCATCCACCCAACAGTGCATTGGGTCGATAGCAGAAAGGCATTTTCTGAAGATATTAAGTAAGTATTTTATATTTATTGTAAGATATTTAAGTAAGATATTAAGTAAGTAAAGATATTAAGTAAGTATTTAGTAAGGTCTTAAAAAACTATGATTTGAAGTCAGGATCTCAAACAATTATTCTTGCCAAATATTTTTCAGCATTGTTTTCAAGATACATGTAACTCGAATGGCAATTATTTTTTATCTTTCAGGTTTAGGTTTCGACTTTGTTCCTGTTATATTTTTATCATCTTTGGTTAATAAAACGAGTTAAAATTGTTTTTATCAGTTCAATTTGCTTATCATAAATTCGATGGACTTAGGGTTCTTTTTGTTCAAAAGTTAAAATGAATGATTTAAAAATAGAATTTCAACGTACAAATTTATCAAACTAATTGTTATTTCATTACAATTTTTTTTTATAAAAAATAACTATTGCAAAAATTGATCTTGTGAAAATTTTAGTTATAAAAATTGTTGTTTAAATGCAAATGCAAGTTAAAGAAAACATAGTTGCTTAAATGCAAACATTGCCATATTTAAAATTTTACACAATTTAATCACAAATCAGTAGCAAAAAACATCTGGAAATTTCTGGAAATTTGAAGGAGTTTTCAGTGAACTTCTGACATTCCAGGAATTCCAGGAAAAAGCTAATCTTTGCATAACTTCTACATAAACTTTCTTTAAAACTACTCAACAATTTTTCCTTGTACAGTAGTTCTAAAGGACAATTGAAAAATGTTATTTTCAAGAACTTTTAAAATTATAAAAAAAATTATTCCTTTGAACTACAAGAAAGTCTAAATTCAAGAAAATCTCAAATTGTTACCAAAAGTTTAGTTCCACAAAATTCACTAAGAATAAATATTTTTATATATTTATAAATAATTTATAAATATAAAGAATAAATAACATAATTTCATATACTAAGAATAAATAACATAATTTCATATACTAAGAATAAATAACATAATTTCATATAATGATATTGAAAATAGTGAAGATAATGAAATATTTGAAGATTTACTGTATCAGTTTAATTAAAATCTAGAAGAATTTGAAAAATGAAAAAACCTACAGCAAATCTACAGATTCAATTTTTTAATATGGTATCGATTGCAAAGGAGTTTATAAGAGCTGAACACATAGAAGATTGGAAAGCTTATTTGAACAGCATTAAAGAAATGCTACCTTATTTCCATGCATCAGGGCATTTTCCTTATGCCAAGTCTGTGCACTTGTATTTGCACAATTAGAGAAATTAATGAAATGTAGTGATAATCAAGAACTTATTGTTTTTTCACTGTTAGACGTTCAAATAAACTCAAGATTTGTTTATATGTACACTTTTATTACATTTTGGTTAGAATAATACAAAAGTCTATTTTTTAAAAAGTTCTTCTAAATAAAGTAAAATGTTTATAGCAGTTAAGAATCCCTTAAGGATAGGTTTTATAAGATATTATTATTCAGTTGACTTGTCAAATGAATAATAAAAGTCAAATGAAAAATGAAAAAAACTGTCAAATGAATAATAAAAGAACTATAGATAGTCAAAATGGACACCTGCTTAAAAAAGTTTTTTTTAATGATAAAAATTATTTCAGCAAATCACATTACATTTAAGTAATAAATAAATTTATAACCTGGATCTTCATAAACTTTCTCTCGATGAAGCATAGAACTCTCAAAAACATTCCACAAGCAAACACTCCCATCTTCATATGCACAAATTAAATATAAAATGCAGTCTCTTATGAATAATATGCATTTCATGACCATACCTATAATAACAAAACTTAAAATGTTTAAATATTGTTTAATTAATTAATTGTTTAAATAACTACAGTAAAATTTAGGAAACACCAACTTGTCAGTTTTTAACGCATTTAACAAGCTTTCTAAATATGCTTTATATTATTAAATTTAAAATAAAAACCATAAAAATTGCAAAATTTAAATTAAAAAAAAAAAATAATAAAGTTAAAAAAATAATAGTTGAATGAAGTTAAATTATTTTTTTGAAAAGGCTTCCTTACAAAAGTTTAGAAACAATCACCGCCCACAGTTAAATCAAGTATTATTCTCTGCAATTAAATCAAGTTTTTGTAAACAAAAACTTGATTTAATTGCAAATTAAACTTATAATAAACTTTTAAAGCAAAAATAAATGCTAAAATATCCGTTAGGTTGAAAATTCACTTTGAGATCAAAAGCAATGAAGTACTTAAGTTGCCAAAATATTTGTAAACTTTTGTAATTTAATTACTTAGCGATATTTCAAAAACATGGAAAGGCTAAGAAAATTATAAATAAAATTATAAAATGGAAGGTATTAATTATAAAAATTACTGCAAAAAAAAAAAACTAACAGAAAGATTTCTGAACTTTGTTTCCAAACCAGGAATAAACATTATGAAATGATGTCAGTACAAAACTATTGCTTTAGAAGACCTAAAGTTACAACTAAAAAAGCTGATAGATTATTAGCAAAGTATTCCGAGATCCTCGCAAAACTGCTGTCTTAATTTAGTTTTACATCAGTTTCATGGCACAAACAGTAACATTAACACAACTAAATGTTGATTATGACAAAATAATCTGTATGGCTGCTGTCCAGATATCTGCAAGAAATTTAAAAGCCAGAATAAAATTTAAAACAGATAATCTTATTCTGATAGTTAATGACTGGTCTAAAGTCCTCTTCTCTGATGAATTAAAGTCCTCTTCTCTGATGAATTAAAGTCCTCTTCTCTGATGAATTAAAGTCCTCTTCTCTGATGAATTAAAGTCCTCTTCTCTGATGAATTAAAGTCCTCTTCTCTGATGAATTAAAGTCCTCTTCTCTGATGAATTAAAGTCCTCTTCTCTGATGAATTAAAGTCCTCTTCTCTGATGAATTAAAGTCCTCTTCTCTGATGAATTAAAGTCCTCTTCTCTGATGAATTAAAGTCCTCTTCTCTGATGAATTAAAGTCCTCTTCTCTGATGAATTAAAGTCCTCTTCTCTGATGAATTAAAGTCCTCTTCTCTGATGAATTAAAGTCCTCTTCTCTGATGAATTAAAGTCCTCTTCTCTGATGAATTAAAGTCCTCTTCTCTGATGAATTAAAGTCCTCTTCTCTGATGAATTAAAGTCCTCTTCTCTGATGAATTAAAGTCCTCTTCTCTGATGAATTAAAGTCCTCTTCTCTGATGAATTAAAGTCCTCTTCTCTGATGAATTAAAGTCCTCTTCTCTGATGAATTAAAGTCCTCTTCTCTGATGAATTAAAGTCCTCTTCTCTGATGAATTAAAGTCCTCTTCTCTGATGAATTAAAGTCCTCTTCTCTGATGAATTAAAGTCCTCTTCTCTGATGAATTAAAGCCCTCTTCTCTGATGAATTAAAGTTATTCAGTTGTGACACAATTAAATTAAACATCCAATAGAAGACAGACAGGAGGAAATTTTATGGTTTGGGAGTGTTTTAGTCATGACAATGTGGAATTCATTTTATAGAAGGTACTATAAATTTAATTTTATAATATAAAGCACATTTGGTAAAAATTTAAATTTATTTGAGAGAGTTTGTGAAAAATTATGTGCTAAAAACTGAAAACAAGTTGATGTTTCAAAACTTTTGCACGCTACTATATATATAATATATATATATATATATATATATATATATATATATATATATATATATATATATATATATATATATATATATATATATATATATATATATATATATAATTTTAATAACAAAGTTACATAATAAAAAAGTAAAGATTATTAGCAAATAGAAATAAAAAAGTTTTCATGCCAACTTTAATATCAGGCTTCATTGTATATATTACACCATAATTCCCAGTGGTGACATTAAAATCAACTGTAGTGACAGAAACCTTAAAAAAGGATTGTTATTATTAATGCAAATCCAAAATCATGTTAACAAAAGTTTTTATACTTTTATCAATACAACAATAGCATGCCTATAAGCAACTATGCAAATATACAACTACATTTATCATTATACGTCATTATAAATTCAATACTATTAATATTAAGTCAATATTCTATAAGATATGATGATCATATCTGGACTGGTTTTTCTAATGAAGCTATTTCTTCTTTAGTAAAGTGCTTAAAAAATTTTTGCAAACAAAGTTGCATCTGTTCTAGCAGCTAAGCTTAATCTGCATCTTTTGCTTTTCTTTTTCTCTTGCTTTAAACTTTTTAAAACAAATCGAAGTTTGTTTTTTAATCATAAAAATTTAGCATAATTCAACACCATCTTAATGAGCTTAGTAATAAGACCAATGACTAGTAACCAATTAGGGCTTGATTTTGTCACAATCGAGTTTGAAAAAAAAGGCAAGTCTTTGTTTGTAATTAGTTTGTAGCCATGATCATCACAATGCCTCCATTTTCTTCTCTGCTTCTAATGTCTTCTCTAGAGAAATAAATTTTAGCACAAACCAACTTACCTTTCCTTGGCCAAGTGCCTCTCTGTTTCATCCTTATATTTAAAACTGTTAAAAATAAAAATAAAAATAAACATTTTAGGAGGAATAGAGTCTAATTAATTGATTTTTATTATTATTAGGAGGAATAGAGTCTAATTAATTGATTTTTATTATTATTAAGTAGTACCATATCCCTAATAATTAAAATTGCACCTAGCATTTATAATCGAGTATTTCCATTTCTGTGCGTGATTCTTTTCCTGTTCACTTTTACAATGGAACTTTAAGCAATTTACATTCTATTACAATTATTGTAAAAAGCAATTATAACAAAAATATTTTTGTCATGTTTTAGGCTACCTGAATGCTTCTAGGCTTTTTTAGGCTACCTTAAATATGTATATTTTTATAATTTTATTTTTTTAATTTGCCAATGTTGCAATAATTTTAAAAATATACAATGATTTTCTAAATGCTATACTCCTAGAAATATTTGATGACTACTATTTCTCGTTGAAAATATATCAAATATGAGTAGATATAATATTTTATTTGGAATACTCAAAGCAATTTATTATTATATAACTAACTACGTGACCTCTAGAAATTTGCAACTTCTGTGTATGACCATGACTACAACTAGCTGCATTTAAACAATTGCTGTGACTCATATGATATAAAGCGCAATCCTATAACATTCTGGAAATCTTTACATTTTATATATAAAACATTATTTAAAAAAACAAATACTGCTAAAACTTATATTTTCGGAGGAATTAATGCTTTTTTATCTATTAACTAAAATGTTCCATGCGCTATTCCATTTCAAACTTAATTTATTCTTTGGCAACATTACTAATGAATATCATTCTTTCTTAAAAAAATATTTACATAGATTAAAATTAAATGAGAGTCAATTGGAGAGTGTCAGTTTTTTTAATTATGAAAATAATAGACAAAAAGTTTTTGAGACAAAATATATGTGATTTTCCGTGTGTGATTTTTGGAAATACCCAATTTTAAGATTTGAGATAATAAAGATACATATTTAACACAAAAAAAATTCTAAATTTTTATGAGTATATAAATTTTTTAATCATTTATTTTACACCACCAAAAAAGTTAAGTTGATAGGGTTACCCCTACTTTTAAACAATACTAATTTGACTTTTTTTGTCATTCCTTTTTATCAAAAGCATTGATAAAAAAAGTATGAATTGGTAACTATGTAGAACATATTGTAGCACTTCATTTATCAATTTAATGTTAATGTTTGACTCAAATCAGGTAAAATATGTCTATGGACCTTATAATATTCAATTTTTTAAAATTATGTTTAAAACATATAGATTATAAGTCATACCTTTGATATGGAAATATATTGCCATATATAAATCTTTTAAAAAAGATTTATACTTTTTAACAATTAAGAATTTAAATGATATTTATTGTTTAATTTTAAAATTAATTAATTTAAAATATTTGAAATAATACCTCAGAATCAGAAGATGGATAAGCCAACCAAAAAACATCTAAAAAAAAAGAAGTCTTCTATTCTTTATTTGTTTTGTTTTTAAAAAATATATAGTATATAAGGAATTAAGGAATTATTATTTTAAGAATTTATAAGCCTAATATATTACTTATATTTAATATATTTATTAGATCAATACTTTTTACATACAATATTTACACTCAGTTTCATGATGACATCCCTGTCTCAGCAAGTTAGGGTGTTAGCCAGTCTGATGGCACCGTGGTATTCCCAAAGGTTTGGTTTAAAATTCCCAAAGGTTCATAATCATAGTAAAATAAATCTAAGATTTAAAGTGTAGACAAGTAAAAAAGGCAATTAGTACACAGGATGAGGAAATAAATTATGTTGATCAATTTTTTTAATGAGTAAAAACGTGTCGTCATTAACAAGCATCATTAACATTAACAAGGCCATTCATTCAAAAGTTGATAAAAACTTTTTTTTTAATTTTTTATTGACATCAGTTATTCTTTATTTAAGATTTTTCAATATGTTTAATATATTATTTTATTAATTTATTTTTATTTTTCAAAAACTCTTTATTTACATTTTTAAAATTAAAATGAATTTTCAAAATTAAATTTAAGTTTTTGAAATTATTTTAGCTTTTTGATAGTTTTCGAAACTTTTTACAAAATCCGAAAAAAAAGTTTTTTATCAATAACGTTTTAATCAAAAATTTTAAAAAGTTTTTGAACCCTAATTTTCATTTTTTATAGTTTATTTCAGTTATTCTCTATTTAAGATTTTTCAATATGTTAAATATTACTTAATTTATTTATTTTTATTATTCAAAAACTCTTTATTTACATTTTTTCTGTTTATCTTAAGTTAGGCATGAAAACTTTTTTATTTCTATTTGCTAATAATCTTTACTTTTTTAATTTGTAAGTTTGTAATGCTTAACTTAAATGCCTTAGTTTTTTTTTGTTTTTTGTTTTTTTGTTATTCACCTCCTCAAGGCCGAGAAGGCTACTACAGAAGAGGAGGCTACTTAATAGTGGTTATAACCCTCTCTCAACTCTATAACTCCGAAACACGAACCTTGATGAACAAGGCTGCTGCGCGGAGAAACAAGTTGAATTTAAATTAAAGTAGCATGTTGCAACAAAAGTTCTTTTAACAAACATCATATTTGACGGAAATCGGCGAGCCAACCAAGTTTTTCAATTAAAAGCTATTAAGATTTGGAAAACTTTTATTTAACTTTCATTTAAAAGCTATTGATTTAAATAATTTTTAACTTTAAAATCTATCTAATGATTAAAATTATAATATAAAATATGATGAACAATAATACTAATACTTATGTAAAAAAGTTTAAATTTTTTTCTATTTTTAAATTTTTAGTTTTAAAATACTAAAGTATTTAAATACTTAAATATTCTAAATCTTTAAAAAAGTTTAAAAAAGCGCTGCCTCAAGGCAGTGAGGCGTGCGCTTTTTGCAAGGTTTTTTAAAAAAGTGCATGCCTCACACAGCACTTTTTTAAACATTGGAGCTGTCAAACATTAGTCTTTACAGAGTAGAATACAAACCTGTAAAAATATTTTTTTTTTACTGTGTTTTCCTTTGTAAAAGCTGGAAATCTGGCAATCCTACATGTAATGTATAGTGTTTTTATCAACAGCCATCAATTAAAAAGTTGTTTTAGCAATATGAAAAGTATCAAGAGGATCGTGGAAATCATCAAAAAAGTTTTGTTAAAAATTAAATACTATTTAGCTTTTTTTTTTATACTTATAATTTAAAAATAAAAATAAAATTAAAAGACTTTATATGTAACTAATCGTTTAAATCTTTTGAAACTGTATTTAAAAGCAATGTACAAATTTAATAATTCATTCATTAAAACTGCAAACAATTATCTTTTGTTCTTTTTTTCTTTCCATTATATCAAACAAAGTAGAGAAGCGATTTAAAAATAAAAACTTAAGAAGATTGTTCAAAATGAAACAAAAATTAGAATTAAACATTTATAAAATAGAAAAATATTTCTGCTATGAATATAACCCAGAAAAATAGAAAACTATTTTGATTAAAATTTTATTGTATCTAAAAAATGTCAAATTAATTTACTTTTTTAAATGTCAGAATGTAATGACGTTTTTTTTTTTTCTTGCTACACTTAAATAAATCTAATTTCGCAAAAATGCTGTATGAATTTTTTTGTAGCTTCATTTGTAGCTTTCAAGCTATGGTTGTTCAAACCTTTGGATTTTGAACACTTAAAAAGTCACCCCTAAAGTATTATATTTTATTCTAAATTAAATAAATTGTGATACAATTATTTAAGAAGAACTAAAAGTACCTTTTTCCTTTAAAAAATTAATTGAAGCAAATCCCACGTTGTGAACTAATAATGAGTGTTGCAAACAAAACTTAGAATCCTCAATCTTAAAAAACTGAACCAATCCTGAACGATTATGCCTATAAACACGCCAAATAAAAATATGCTTATATCTCATTCAAGAAGATAATATAAGAATATGCCATATAAAATAGTTTATTTGAGAATTTGTTGTATAGTTAATGTATATCACATTCTATGTAATGTCATATCACCACTAAATTTCACCACTTACTATCTTTAACTTGATGAAACTATTACCCAACTAGGTAAAAATCTTCTGAATGTATTATGTTGGCATAGAGTATTTCATGAGCATCTGTAAGCACATGAAGCATAGTTCGTTTAGTACTTAAGTTCCAAACTTCAATCAAACCATTTTGTGAACTAAATTTAAATACAAAAATTATTAATACTCAGAAATACATAGAATATTGGTATTGCTTACTATAAGATGTTAAGATTTGTTTATGCATATTAATTGTATGCTAAATTATATATATATATATATATAAATATATATATATATATATATATATATATATATTTTATTTCTATATTTATTTTGCTTAAAAATATTTCATTGGAATTTTTTTTGAATTATAATGAGCTTTGTATAATCTAAAAAATACACATTGATTTTTAAAATATATATTTAAAACTAAAGTTTCTTAAAAGTATTTTTTATTAAACTGATGTAATACTCAAGAAAAAAGAATAATAAAGCTAAATGCAAAGGCTGTGGTGTGAAAATGCAAGGTTTAGTAGCTTGAATGAGAAATCATCAAAGTTGAAAGATTTTAAAGATGATATGAAAATTTGTATGCACATTATTAGAGCATCAATATTTGTCAATATACTGTAGAAAAATATCAACCAGACAACTGAGGAAACACAAAGATCTTCTGTTGAGAAAACTGAATCTAGTTTATCTACTCTAGAGAAAGCAAGTTTTTCTGTGTTTATATAAGAGAGTGGCAAGAACAAGCAGCAGCAAGATGGTGTCAACTAAATTGGATTTATACCTTATTAAAACCACAAAATCTGAAAAAGAAGCAATTGATGAGCAGATAGCAAGAATGATTCTTAATAACCTGCTTTTCAGAATGATCGACAATCCAGAGTTTATCAAAATGATCAATTTCTTATACCTAGAGTCTTCTTATTTAACACTCATCGCATTCCTAATAGAATTAATATTGGTAGATAATTACTAAATAATGTAAACAAAAACAGCTTAACCTGCTGTTCAGTTGCTTTATGATCAACCTGTAACCATGAGTAATTAGAGTTATAGTTGCTGTTAAATTATGTTAAAATATTAAGTTGAAAGTTTTGTGACAATGTTAAATTATCAACTCTAATTTAAACAGTTTTATAATATAATTGTTTAAAAAATAAAAACGCAATTATTGTAATATTTGTGTTTTTACTTTTTTAAATATTATGTTATGTATTACTAAACAATTTACTAAAAGTAATATTGTAATAGTAAAGAATGTGTTTCAAATGCACATTTCATTATAACAGCAACTATAACTTTAAATTATAACTAAGGCTTGTTAAATAAGAATTTATGAGATATTATGTAAATATAAGAGATATTATGCTTAGAAATAGCAACTACAAAATAAATTACAAAAGATATAATTTTGTATTAATGCAACCACTCTTATTGCAAAGCAGATAGGCAGGGGAGGGGTTAAAAAAAAAAACTTTCTAAAATTTTCGCAATAACAGTTGTTTGCATTACTTTGAGCCCTACATATATATATATATATATATATATATATATATATATATATATATATATATATATATATATATATATATATATATATATATATATATATATATAATATATATATATATATATATATATATATATATATATATATATATATATATATATATATATATATATATATATATATACATTTAGTGAAATTTCTATAGTTCCACTTACAATTTGTACATATAAATAAATTCACGAAGTATTTGCATTTTTTTGTTTATTACAGGAATTATTAGGAATAAATAAATAAGCAAATAATATTTAATTAGAAAATAATTATTAAAATAAATTATTAATTTATTTCGTAAAACTTAAAAGTTAGAAATATTTCAAAAAAACAGGCAAAATTTCTATAGTTCCATCAAAGGTAATCCTTTATAATTTTTGTTCTAGATTATAATTTTTTAATTAGTTCAGTTTTTAATAATGTGTGCTACCACCTTTTACATTAACTAATTTGAAGATTCGGTTTTTCATACTTTTTATAAGATTTTCTAAACAAACCTTTGAAATACCGCTCCATGTTTGTTGGATAGATATTTTAAGTTCTTGTATTGTATTATACTGTCAAGAATTTCCATATATAGTTTGCGCCAATATTCCCTATAAATTTTCAATAGGGTTCAAGTTAGGTGAACATGATAGGTGATCCAAAATATTTATATTTTTTTCCTGGAACCAATTTTTTATACTGTGTGCCGTGTTAATCACCGCACTATCTTGTTGGAAAATCCATTTCTCAGTAGGTAAACCTTCACTAAACTCTATTAAAACATCTTCTAAAAGATCTACATAATTTCTTGCATTCATTTTTGTTGTATCAAAATATATTGGAATTTTGCCGTGGAAAAAAATGTCTTGTAGTCACAGATAATTCAAGTTCAGTTCTTATTTGTATTGCTGTTGGTACTCTGGATGACGTCAAACGCAAAATGGAAGAATGTTGCCTTTTGGTTGTTTTTTATTTCCAACCCTTAAAGTGATTTTTGTTGTAATTTTTTAAGTATATAAAATTGTTTACTGCATGATAAGACCTTTTGATTTTCTTTGCAATTTGTTGATTGGACAAACTTATATCTTTGTAAGCTTCAATTTTTGCTTTTTCTTCCTCATTTAACACCTTTCCACATGACAGTCTAATAATTAATTAACAAATCTTAATTAAAAATAGAAAAAACTTCCATATAAAACAAACAAATTTAAAAATCTTGCAAAAACTTCAATTAATTCTTATTAAGTATTAATAAAACCTGTAATAACTACATGGAACTATAGAAATTTCACTGAGTATATATATATATATATATATATATATATATATATATATATATATATATATATATATATATATATATATATATATCCAAAGCTTCTCTTAAGCACAAAATGTGTAAATATTCTAATAAATAAGACAATTTTTTAAACTTTTGTTAAAAATGGAAAAAAATTTTAAAATTTTAAATGAAATAAAAACTAATCTTACAGTGACCGATCATGTTCGGAAAACCTACAAAATTATCAATATTTTAAACTTCCTTATATTGGAAAAATATCTAATTTAACCAAACAAAAACTAAATGCAATCATTAAAAGATATTGTAAATCAGTCACTGTTAGATTGGTTTTTACTTCATTTAAAATTTCAAAATTTTTTTCCACAAAAGATCCCTTTCCTACAGACTTTAATTTATTCGTTGTCTATAAATTTTAATACGCAGGCTGTAAATCCTGTTATATTAGCAAAACTACTTGCCATTTAAAGACACGAATAATCAAGCACCAAAAAATGGATAAAAACTCACACATTTATAAACATATTCATTCAAATAAAAGCTGTTTTAATAGTTTTAATCATGGAAGTTTAAAATTCAAAGAAAGCATGTACATAGAGTGGGAAAAACTTACTATTAATAAACAAATGAAGCATGTAAAAATGGCAAATTCAATCTAGTTCCTTTTAACATTACCGGTTCTTTTACTTTTTTAAAACATTTGTTACATTTTTTAATTGCATTTTTATTATAAGGTCTCTATTAGTTTAACTTAATTTTAATAATTTGATTTAAGCATTTTAATATACTTTAACTGATGATGGCAATGACTTGAAACATGTATTTACAAAATAAATGATTTTAATAAAAATTAAAAAATTTGTCTCATTTATTAGAATATTTATATATATATATATATATATATATATATATATATATATATATATATATATATATATATATATATATATATATATATATATATATATATATATATATATACACTCTGTAGGTTATTTTTTTGATAGAAAAAGACAAAAAAAATTTATTTGAGAAATTCTGACATGTAGTTTTTATTTTATAGCTTTTAAATTTAAGTATAATTAAAATTGTACCATCTTCTAAATTATTGTAACTTAAGTGTGGTAGTGGTGCAGTTATATTATTGTTGGTATATTAGTGTATTTTTATTATTAGTATATTAGTGGTGTAGTAATTATTGCTACTTAAGTGCGATAGTGGTGGTAGAGCGCTCACCTCATAAGAGAGATGTTCTTAGTTCGATCCCCTCCATGTCCCAGGTGAATAATTAAATGAAAAATTTTAAAATTTAAAAAAAAAATGATTATAGCATTTCTCAGTCATTAAACTGTTGAAATCATATTTCATTTAACTGTTAAAATAATATTTCATTAACTTGAAAGGATATTCTAATGAAATAAAAAAGTTAAAATATTACAAATTAAAATAAAAATTAATTTTTATAGTAAACTTACCCAGTAATAAGAACTTCTACAGAATTGAGAAAAGAAAATGATAATGAAGTAATAGGAGAACTTGCTCTTAAAATGAATAATGGATCAGGATCTTTTTGTGCCATACTGCTTTTTTAAGTTAATTGAAATAAGAGAGTTGGAAGATCTGTATATATATATATATATATATATATATATATATATATATATATATATATATATATATATATATATATATATATATATATATATATATATATATAATTATATATATTTATATAAATAAATATATATATATATATAAACATATAAATATATATATATATATATAAATATATATATATATATATATATATATATATATATATATATATATATATATATATACATATATATATATAGAGGGATTATGTAGAGGGATTTGGATGTATCATTTAAATGGACAGAAGACTGGCTTTTAAAGTTCAATGTTGATAAATGCGTAGTAATGCACTATGGAGTAAACAAGAAAAAGAACCCTCTATATAGTAATGGCATAAAGTTACCAGAATCAAACAGTGTAAAAAATCTAGGTAATACTTTCTAAAAATCTTAAGTGGAAAGATCAAGTTATGTCTGTAACAAATAATGCAAATAGAATGTTAGGTCGAATCAAAAAATCATTTGCAAGATTGGATTGTTATTTACTTAAATCACTCTATGTAACCTTTATTCGTCCTTTTCTAGAATTCTCAGTTCCAGTATGGTCCCCGTATCAAAAAGGTGACTGTAAAGTAATTAAATAAGTGCAGCGTCGAGCCACCAAACTGATTAAATCAATTAGGTGTTTCAGTTATGAAGATCGATTAAAAGTTTTGAAATTGACAACTTTAACTAAACGAAGAGAAAGAAGTGATATGATCCAACTATTCAAAATAATAAACAATGTTAATATAACAGAGCATAACTTACAAACTATTCAAAATCATGCTAGAGGTCACTGTTTCCAATATATATGGAAACAACAAAAAATCTGCTAAGGCATAATTTCTTTTATAATAGATCGGCAAACTTATGAAACTCATTGCCTTTAGAACTAGTCAATTCATTGTCTGTAAACTCCTTTAAAGCAGGGTTCGACTAAATACTAACTAACTAACTATATATATATATATATATATATATATATATATATATATATATATATATATATATATATATATATATATATTTATATAAATTTATATATATATATTTATATTATATATATATATATATATACACATATATATATATATATATATATATATATATATATATATATATATATATATATATATATATATATATATATATATATATATATATAGACATGGTGCTCACTATCTTTTATTTCCCTTATGACATTAGAAAACATTATACCATCTGACATAGGAGGTTTTCTGCATTGCTTAGAAAAAAGGCACCCTTCAATCAAATATTCAGGTCCAACTGAAGCATTGTTCAAGAAGTTTAAAGCTTTTATGGAATGATGTTGATACTAAAGTAATAAAACAAGTTCTTTTTCCTTTTAACACAACTAATTCTCATTAGATTTTAATACATCTAAAAGTTATAACAAAAGAAGTAACTGTACTTGATCAACTCCATTGCAATATTATGCCAAATAATTTATTACACAATAAATCCATTGCTGTTGCTAAAGACCTTTTTAGGTCTTTAGCAACAGCAATGGATTTAAAAGTATACTGATATATGAATATATATTATACAATATATTGTATAATATATATTCATATATCAGTATACTTTTAGTTGTTGATTTTTCAACTACTTTTTTGTTATGTTACTTATATTTAATTCATATATAAATTCATTTATTTATTAACTATTTAATTTATTGCATAAATTCATTTAATTCTGTAATTGTTCAATAAATTATAATTGTTAATTGCCTATTAAAAAATGATCATAAGTTATGATGCATGCACAGAAAATAAAAAAACCGTGTTATGATTCATAACAAGATTTTTTTATTTTCTGTATTTATTTCAATTCATTTAAAATTGTGTTATCAGAAAAAAAATATTAATGATTCATTTAACGAAGTACAATTTCGTAAATATATTTACGAGACTTTAAGCGGTAGGTGTTTAAAGAGCCTTGAAAGTGGTTTTGAACGTTTGTACGATATTTGCAGGGCAAGTGTTTATTTTATTTTAACATAAATAATAAGCTAAAAAAAAATTTTTTTATTATTGTATTCGGAAATAATTTTGTTCTTATCCTTTATTATTTTGTTCGTCGACTATGAATTAAATGCGATGCAGTTGGCGAAAAACAAATATATACCGTTTTATACCATTTAGAAATTAGGAAATATGAAAAATATATGAAAAAGTCAATAAAATTGAGATTCTCTATGAAATTTGAGTTTTCACTATTCTGCAACAGTAACAATAAAAAGTATTGTTGCTTACAATAATAGATGTTATTGTAGTTAACACAAGAATAACCTTTAACATTTTTATTATTACAGATTTGCAAGAACACATCCTTTAAAAAGAATGATTGGGTGCAATGCACAAAACGTCCACAGTGGTATCATTGTGTGTGTCCACATTTCAATCAAAGATGCAGATATCAGTGATACTTTCCAATGTCAATTATACAACCCTATCAATTTTAAAAAACGGCTGTTTTCATAGCCACAAATCGTTTTAAAAACATTAAATGACATGAAAAATAAATTAATTAAACATAACTTGTTCAAAATACTGGACCGTGGCCCCAGGCGCCAAAATTGGGAGGGCGCAAATTCACCAAAAAATAAATTAAAAAAATAATATGTTTGTTATTTATGGTTTTTTCGGCGCCATTTTAAGTCTTAGCGCTCAGGACAATTTTCATTTCCCCTCCCTTGTTACTCCACTAAATTTAACAGACGCGACGCAGTGCTAAATTTAGCAATTTAGCGTTATAAAACGCTTGCATCAGAGGAAAGAATTCTGCGTTTCAAAGCGACCTCTGGGGAAGTTATGTGACAGTGGTTGGGATAACTTCTTGATAAATGCTCCTCCGCGGTGCTTAGTAATAAGATTGTAAGGACTTCTTGAGGCACCTATAATAAAAAACATATAGGCAGAGGATTAGAGAGGCCTGAGAAAGTTTTAAATTGGAAGCCCAAGAGGACGTTTTGTGCAAATACGACACAAATTAGTGCGAAGCCAATTTAAGTCTTCAGATAAATTGGGACCACATAAGTTTAAATTAGGAGCCCAAACAGACACTGCATATTCAAGGTGCAATCTTACAAAAACTTTATTTAACTAGCCATATGTTCATCAATGAAAATGAATGCCTTCTTTAACATACCAAAAATTTTAGTAAATTTTAAGACAACTGATTGACTATGTGTGTTCCACGTGTGGTTATATGTAAAAACAAATCCCAAATCACGGTCTTTAGTATAGCTTCTTAGACATTCATTCATACTTTATTTTTTAAAAAGTAAAAAGTTTGACCATAATGAATAAAAAGCATTTTAAAATCTTTAATTTAAGCAACCAAGTGTTTTCATTTACAAAGCGTAGACAATCCGGTCTGCTGGTCTGCTGCAAAAATAGTGTGCGAAAAAATTTTAGAAAAAAAGTTTAGTATCATCTGCAAATTATTATTATTATTAAATATTACAGCCGTAGATATTTACGGCTACAACTATAATAATAATGATAATTTGCAGATGATGTAAACTTTTTTTCGCACACTAATTACGCTGCAATATTTAAATATTTACATACAATGTAAAAAATACAGCGAGCAGCAATTGTTTTTATATAGCCTGTTTACTAAGATACCTAATTTCTTTCAGTTTTATAACAACGTGTTGTGTTAAATATAGGGGAGAGTGGTCTAAAGTTGGCCCCCTTTTAAAAATGATATAACCAACTAGCTGTGCACAAACAAAACTACAAACGATATGTTTTTCAGGATATTCAATCTATACTCTACAATTTGTTATCTGAAAATTAAATATGCACACAACAAATAAACAAAAACGTTTTACTAACCAAAAAATAATCTCTTTCAAAAAGTAAAGTAAAAAACAAAACAAAAAATTCAAACATATGATTATATGAAAAAATAGAGGAAAAAAGTTTTTTGCATTTTTGTTTTATTATTATTATAAAAAATCTCCTTAGTACAAATACTTTATAATATAAAGTATAATAAATACTTTATAATATAAAGTATTTATAATATGCAGATTTTGTATATTTAAAAAAATATTATATTTTGAAAAATATTTTAAATAAATAAATGCTGTTTACAAAAAATAACTTATGTAAAATTATCACAGATTTATGCGGGGCGCGGTACGGGTTTTTTATAATTCAATAGGAGTATTTCTCCCCTACACTCGATTCTTTAAAGAGTATCTGACCAAACCAAAACCCTCAGTTGATGTATCTACATGTTAATTGTAAAATCAACTACGCCTAAATCTTACTTAGTCGATGTGCACATTCCGCTAACGGAGTAGTTGAAGGCTGTTAACAGACTGTTACGGCTGTATGTGCACTGCACGTTCTGCGCTTTGAATTTATATGGCTCAAGTGCAGAACTTTATTTAGTTGGTGAACAAAAGTGTCCAGCAACAAAAAAACAATCTTTGTGTAATAACTAAAAAAATAAAACTTTTCGATACCGAGAAAAGAACCTGGAACCCTCGGTTTACTGACCACGCTTACGCTGCTAGTTGGAAGAAAATTGTATTTATAAAATAATATTTTCACATGTATGATATGTTATTATTTATTATATATTATATATGTATAATATTTTGAATGTATTATATATCGGAAGAGTTGGTTTCTAAAATTTGTTTCATGTTTAAGGGGTATGCCCTCTGTTAAACCTAAAATGACCACTTGGTTTTGCATGCAATGGAACGATATATTTTATTGTAGATCCTACAAAATTAGTGCAAAATTATTTTTAAAACATTAAAAAAAATTATTGCAGTCGTCCATAATGGCTGCAATTCAAAAAAAAGTCAACTTTTTTAGCAATTGATAACTTAAGAACTTTTAAATATATCTAAATAATACTTTGACACAAGACTCTTTCAAGTAAGATCTAC